GCAAGTTCTCACTTTCTTTTCTCCTTAGCTATTGCCAACTCCTGAGTTTCCAGAGGGCGCCTCTCCATTGTCCCAGACTTCAGGCATTCGGGGCCCAGAGACTCGTGCAGAACATTCGTGTGGGCCTCTCCTGGCCATCATGCACTCTAAAATGGAGACCCTCAACTTTCAGTTGCACCTTTTGCTCTCAAGAACTGATGGGTCTGAGGTTCAGCCAGGTGACTGGGACACAGAAAAAAACAGGAAACGTTCCTTCTTTTCCCCAAAGTCGGCCCCCAAGACACTGGTCTGCTGGCAAATCACGCCTGCCCACTCTTGGCTCTCTAGACCCCATTGCCTCCTTCTTGTTGTTAGCGCTGTCAAGTGGATTCTGACGCCTAGCAACCCTGTGTACAGCAGAGCAGAACTCTGACCAGTCTTTTTGTGCCATCCTCTCACTTCTGACGCTATATCAGACAACGCTCCATTGCTATTCATAGGGCTTTCACGGCCAATTTTTTTCAAGTGGGTGGCCAGGTCCTTCTTCCTAGTCTGTCTTAGTCTGGAAGCTCCACTGAAACCTGTCCACCATGGGTGACCCTGCTGGTATTTGAAATACCGGTGGCATAGCTGTCAGCATCACAGCAACACGCAGCCACCATAGCATGACAACCAGCAGACAGCTGGTGTGGTTCCCTGAGGGGGAAACGAACCTGGGTCACGGTGGTGAGAGCGCTGACTCTTAACCACTAGACCATCATCGCCTGCTTCTACCACCCACGTATTTAATGGGTACTAGACAGAGAGAGAGGTCAGCAGCACGAGCAACAGTACCCAAAGCTCCTCCCTCCCTCAGACCACCACGCAGGGCACGCTGGGACTACTCTCAAGTTCATCCCCCCCTAGCAGAGGGACCGAGGGCACAGGAAGGCACCCAGGTTGTCACAGCCAACATAGTACCTGTGGTACTCACCCTCCTTCCCCACCTGCCAGACCTCCACCTCCAGCAGTAACAGCAAAACACTGCAGAACCCGTTATTCCAAGAAGATGTGTTGACTTTCGACTTCTGGGTCCACCCCAGGTTTGCCCTTCAAGCTGGGACAACTCAGTGTCCTGGGGGACGTCTGCGGTTGAGCGTAAGGGCACAAGAAGGACCTACACTCACACAGGACTTCTGGATGAAGTAGTGGCATTTGATTTTTTTGAGCTTGCAGAATGTAATGCACATCAAGGAGGTGATAAGTATATTGCCCTCATTTCCTAGAAGATGAACGTCAAAGCCAGAACCAAATCAAGCGTAGTTTGTGTAAAGAACAGCCCCATTAACGATGGGGAGGAAAATGCTGATCCCAGGAAGAATACTGGAACAAGCACTCTGGGATAAAACACAGAAATAATGCTCTCATAACGCACGCGATCACATTTTTATTAACAAAGGAAGTCTTGTTTGGAAACAAAACATCCTGAGAGGAGTCTGAAATTAATCCTCTGACAGGCAGAAATCCACACTACTTATATATTCTAATTATAATTACAACCTGCTCTTAATGCGAACATTCCAAATGATTAGTCCCTTTATTAAGAACCAGAAAAAAGACTTCCTGCAGAATAATGAGAACTTCTCACAGCCCTGAGAAGGAGAAAACCAGGAGATAATTCTGCAGGGAGCCGGAGAATGGGGGACATAACTTATTTAATAAAAGTGCTTCGTTTCTCTTTTTTGTTTAGGAATTGGTGTGCCCTTAGGGCTTCAGGCAGCGCCACGCTTCAGAACTGCTATTTCTAGAGCAAGATAAAAATAGGTATCATAGGAAAAGAACAATTTATCATTGTAATGGTTACATCCCACTTCAGAAACCACTAGAGACGGCTTCACATTTTTATTTCAAACATGTTTCCCGAGTCCTCAGGTGACACACGGGCACAGACGCCGGAAGGCTTTCTTCCATTTGTTCCTAATACAAACGGCTCGATTCTGAGTTCGTTTTCACCTGGGGTGACGTTGAGGTCTGCACTTTCTTAGACTGCTTTGCACTCCTCCTTTGCACTCCTGAAGGCTCCAAAGGCACTATCTGCGCCCGATCACTGAAGAGAGATGGGCTCCTTCTCCTTCCCGTCCCATCCCCTCGAGACCCCTGCTGGAGGGGAAGCGAGCGCTTTGAATGGAGCAACGCCGACTAAATTCTCCCCAGGTACTGCGTGCTCGAGCATTCCTACCGCTAGACCCACCTCTGTAACTGCACCGACCTCCTCATCATGGATGGACTTCTCTACTTTAAAACGTTCCTGGGATTTCTAGACGCTGTCATTGAACTAATTCTTATTATTTTTCTTCCGTTACTTTACGTGGCCAAATCCTCTTCATTTGACATTGAACTGGAGGCCAATTTCCTGAAAATAATCACTTTTGCTACTGTGGTTATTAACCAATGATACATTCAGAATGGATTTGGATTTTTTTCATGCTGTGGCAACATCAGATCCTTGATGTTTCTTCTGGTGTTAAGACTTCTTACACTGGAACCTAACCTATTTAATCTTTCTCTTTTTCTTCCTCTTATGAAACAAAGATCTAAGTGTTCCAGTTTGGTTATGGGAACTAAGGTTTTTGTAGAGTAGTAATTAACAGTAATAAAAAATTTTTACTGAACACTAACCACGGGTCAGGGCTTTCAAGTGTCTTCTCAACAGCCTCATGAGGTAAATATCACATTATCTACATTGTGCAGACAAAGATATGACCAAAGCAGAGAGAGGCTGATTAACTCACTCACAGTCCCACAGCTGGTAGGGGTAAATAAAGCCTCTGAATTCAGACAACCTGACTCTGGAGCCCGAGTTCTCAGCCCTCACATTGAGCTTAATTATGCTCTCAACAAGTGGGATGAGTGGCTCGAGGGGTGACGGTCAATGTTTCTCAGGCAAAGGCATGAGTTCAGTGATTCTTTGATGGCCCCTTTCAAATTTAATACCACCTTGGAATGTTTGGAAGCTTTTCACCTGGAATCCATGTGTCCCAGGAAGGGCAATATCTGTGGTCAGTACACAGGGGAACAGAGGAGGAGCCTGGGCACTGTGGCCACAGCACCCCTGAGAGTGGAGCCATAGAAGGCCACACAGAGGGGATGAGAAGGCCTGGGACACACTTGCCTTCAATAAGAGTGTCTTGAATGTGGTTTCATATTCCAGATAAGTTTCAGCCTGATCAACAAATCTGAAAAAAATAACCCACCAACAGACGAGGGACGGTTTATATAAATTTCTCAGAGGGTGAGGTTAGTGCTGAGCACACCAAGACACTCAGGAAGCAGACACCCTGTGGCTCTGGGACCCGGCCTCTGTGGCAGGCAGGCCAGCGTGGACATTCAGATTTCCCACCAAGAGCTATCCAGACAGTCCACCCTTCTGATTATCATTGAATTCCACCTGGGGATCCCCCCAGAGAGGATGGAGCATGTACGGATGACTGAGCAGTTGAGTTTTGACTGGTGATGAATAAACTGGCATACTGGTTTATGTATCTGTCACTTGAGTTCAATTAAGGTGAGTCAGTTCCCCTGAGCCTTATACACGGTGGGTGCACAGACAAATTAAAATTTCTGGATCTGCAAACAAGGGAACCCAATCCTATTCCTTACTGCCCTGTGGAGAGGGAACCTTTTGCCCTTCCTCTGACCCTCTGGGCCCCTCTCATTGCTTCTCCTTCCCTGCCCCAGGGAGCAGAAGGTGGAAATCAATCAGAACCTGGGATGCTAATGAGGCCATGGTTATTACAAGGTGTGGCCATTGTGTAGAAAGGCTGGCCCCTGGGTGTGGTGCTCCTGGGGGGTCCCATCCCACAAGGAACCTGTGCTCTTGGCACATTCTCTTGAACATTCTCATTCCGGTCCTTACTCTCGAGAATCTGGGTTACGAGGCTCACCAAGGTCCCAAGGCTGGATTGTGCTTAGAGGGAGGAAAGAGGCCAGGCTCGGTCTGCACCTAAACTACTCACTCCAATCCAGCTCTTGTCACCACTGAGGGAGGGTCCTGGGCGTCCCCACAGTGATTAATAACGTGACAGTCTTCTCTTCTGGAACTGCCTGGTTGGGGGGCAGTGGGGGGCAGGCTGGGAGGTTGGGTGGGATGCATGCATTCCTCATTTGCTGGCTTGACTCTTAACAGAACCCATCAAGGAATTCCACCCCATAAGACATGCCCGGGGACGCACTAGGACTAGGAGCCAGGACTAGGAGCCTGGCCTCGGAGCCATGGGAGTGACCAAACCTGGCCCTGCCTTCCCAGGGCCAGCAGTGCACCTGGTGTGATGACAAACCTGCAAAGCCAACAAGCATAGCGAGTGCCTTTCTCCTTGAATACTTTCCCCCATGGAGTAAGGGCATCATGATGAAGAAACTAATGATTCTTGAGGTTAAACAATAATTTCAAGTAAAATTTACCATATCTTCTTGGATCTCACTCTGTTTTCCATGTTTCATTTTATTTTCTGTGATTTTGGTCTTTTGAGGTCAAAATGAACATTCAAGGTTTCTCACCCTCAGCACTTCTGCCATTTGGGGCAGGATGATTCTTTGTTGAGGAGGCTGTCCCTGCACCATAGGATGTTTAGTGGAGTCCCTGGCCTCTACCCACCAGCAACTCCTGTTCAGTTGTGACAACGAAAAATGTCTCCAAACATCACTAAATGTCCCCTGGAGGGCACAGTCATCTCTGGTTGAAAACCACATCTTTCAAAGGCTGAACCAGTTTCTTGCTAATTTGGGGATTAGGTTTAAGTAGTTAGTTCTGGTACTTGAAATTCGTCAGGCAGTGATCCCCCTTTATCTGCATACACACCCTCCCACTTGCTTACTTGGGAATGGCAGCCATGGTTGGGCAGAGGGCCACTGCTGAGGGGTCCACCACTTGCCAGCTGGCTCCTATCAAGTGCGGCTGGCAACTGTCGGGTTGCATTAGGTGTGCTGTTTCTGGCGCTGGGTTTTGTGGGTGTCGTTTGGTCAATGTTCCTAGTAAGTCAGGAGTTACGTTATTTGGGGGCCCTAAATTCAACATGAGGGCTCAGACTGGGGTGGGGACTGTTCTTTCTCTGCAGAGTCTTATTCTCAGATAACCTGCCACCCTCTGAGTCACTCAATTATGAACACGCAACCAGAGCCAACTGACCTCTGTGGATGTGTGCCAGCGACAGGGAGGTAACGTGATGAAGACACGAGTTCCAGGCCCTGAAAAAGTCCTCCTTCTTGGTCATCACCTGTCAAATTGACAAAAGGAAAACAACCACTGATGATATTCTGAGAGAATCAAACTTAGTAGTTAGGCAGACGGCAAATATGCACATTTTCAATACAACCTTCAGCATGGGCATGTTGCAAGCCTGGCCCCTGTGACCCACAAAAGCTATTCATTAGATGAAGAAATGTCATAAACGTACTGTGAGCCCAGTTTATATGTTTATATTAATTCTTCACATATCAAACAAACATGGCCACTACCAGCTGCCAATTCTTGAGATATAACAGGCGTTCCAGAAACAATTTGAAGGGGAGAGTGCACGCACAGATAAAGGGAGGCTGTTTTAATCGGGTCACTCGCTGCCTGAAGAATTCTAAATACCACGACTAACTGCTTACACCTAATCCACAACAAAACCAACCCATCTCCCTCCCTCCTTCCTTTCACTGCAGGCAGGTACTTCCATTTGTTTTCAAGTTGTTTCTGGAACACCTGTCACATCTCCAGAATTGGCATTTGGTAGCAGCCGTGTTGGATATGTGTGAGGAATTCACATAAACATGGAATCTGGACTCACAGGACGTTTCTGTCAATTATTCACCTAACGAATAGCTTTTGCGGGTCTACTCGTTGAACAACGGTCTTTCCATCACTCTGATGAAGGGAGTTTTTTTGCTTTGTTTTGTTTTTCAGTGGGAGGGAAGTAAGAAAATATAACTGGAATAAAATAAGAATGAAGAAAGTGCACGGAGAAGAGAAAGATGCCGAATCACGAAGCTGGCAGTTATAGTCATCAGGGTGGAGCTAAAGGCAGATTCTTATCTGACCAGAGAAGAGTGTTAAATTTGGCACTTCTGACTTTTCTTTGTTACTTCTTGCCTTTCTTTGTTTCGAAAACCTAATGGTTTGATATTTAAACTTTTAGCAATTTTCTTTGCTCAAAGAAATAACACTCAAATAGAAAGTTCGCCTCTATGTATCTGCTTCTCTTTTGTTTTAAACTCACACCCTGAGCACTATGGTTGGAAGGTAGCCTGCCTCCTGCGGCTACTCAGTTCCTGCAGGGCCTGGAGGACTTGCTTTGTAAAATCCCTCCTGGAACAGAGTGCTTTGTCTCCAGTGGAAAAACAGCACTGCAGAAAGCCTGTGCCCATGTATAATTCAGCACGATGACCTGGGGCAGCAGGCACAGCATGGAGGACCACGTCACATGTGCCTCGGAGTCCCCACCTCACCGGGGCACCGCATGACAGTCAAGGGAGAGGAGAATGTCTGTCTCGCTCCCTCAATCAGTATCTCTCTGTATTGCTGTCACAACTACAACTGAAAAGGCAAGGTGGAGACAAGCAAGTCTCAAGGAACAGCCTGCAGAACATCTTTGGCAGAGGTGAGGACAAGCGCAGGCCAAATACTCCAGTCCCAAAACCCTACCCATCACCCTGTAGAGGAAAATGCTGGGAGATCCACGCCAGGGCCTGTGGACAGGCTCTCCTTAATGTGTGTCGGCTGTCCCCCACCATTGCATGGGAAGGAGAGAGGAAGGATAAAACATTGTGCAGCTGTGTCCAAACAGAATCAAGGGCACTTTTAAACTTTTGAAAAACTCAATGTGTAGATAAGTCTTTCTCTGGCCTGATCAAGAGAGAACCAGGGACAGACAATTGGCTGGACAATGTAGAATGGTGTCTGAAGAAGGGACGTCAGGTGGGAAAACCTCGCAGAGGGCCCTTTGCAAAACTTGCTGTGACTGCACCCCCCAAAAAGTACAAGGCAAAAGGAAAAAGCAAGAGGAAAGGCCCCTTGAAAGCCTGCCAGCCAGCTCCTAAGTGCTTTTCCTTATATGTCAACATCCCAGCACTGCTGTAGGACCCGCTCGAGCAGGCTCAGTGTAACGTCATCCCTGCTGGCAAGTGTCCCCTCACTCCCCACTCCCCAGGCAGGAAGGCTGGTGTGACTCACCCCCCACTGAAGGATGGCACTTAGGACTTGGAACATGTTGACAGAAAGGCAGCTTTACTTGGACAGATGCCCAGGAAAGCGACTGATGAGAAGCCTCTGTCCCCTTGAATTGGAGTTTATTGGCAGGAAATAATAAGGGGGCTGAACAGTGGTCCACACATCCAGGTGGGATGGCCCAGGAGCAGTGTGTGGGGTCACACTCCATCCCACTGTCAAGTGGTCAAAATGAGCAGATCAGAATGTCCAACTCTGGTTCAGTCTCCAAGTGGAGACTCAGTATTAACTCCATAGTGTCACTGCCCACAACTGTAACGCAGCTGATAATAGCCTGTGCAATGCATAGGATATTAAAATGTATTTACTGCATCAACAACATTGTAAAATGAGAGAAATCAAATATCTAACCCTCTTACCTTACAAAACTTTCATACAAGGCTTCAGGAGAGAGGATTGTTTTTTTTTTTAATCAATTGGAAAGTTGGATTAGGTAAGCATGCTTACTTTATTTTTTCCTTTTTTTTTTTTGGTGAGGAAGATTGGCCCTGAGCTAACATCTGTGCCAATCTTCCACTATTTTGTATGTGAGTTGCCGCCACAGCATGGTTTGAGGAGTGGCATAGGTCTACGCCCAGGATGTGAAGCCGCGAATTCGGGCTGCCAAAGTGGAGCTCACCAAACTCAACCACTACGCCACCTGGCCGGCCCCAGGAGAGAGGATTTTTTAAATGGTATAGTTGTTCTTTACTTCAAGCAGTAAAACTGCTACTGAAAACTTGTATGTAAATTATCTTTATGCAAACTAAATCCTTCTTAAAATGCACCAGTCAACAGACACTGTTTTAAGCCCTTCATTGCATTTCCTCATTTAGTCTTCAGAAGCCCTGCAGGTAGGTATTATTGATATCTTTTGATATCTTCATTTTGCAGGTAGAAAACTGTGACACAGAGAGGTTGAGGAACTTGCCCAACGTTGCAGAGCTGGGTTCAGACTGGGCACCTAGGTTTCTGAGCCCATGTTCCTAACCACAGGCTACACTGCCTCCCAATGGACTATTGGGGAGTTAGTCCCCTGGCAACACCTGTCCCTCCCAAATACACAGTTTATAAAGATGCAATGTAACACATGGTCATGTTTAATGTGAACCACGCCCCACACTTAAAGCCTCTGATGGGAATAAATGCTTATTTCCTAATAAATCATCACACAGCTAAGACAGAGCTAAACTCATACAGAAACCCCTGCTGGCCTCGCCTTGGCTGGATGCCCATACCCACTCCCCCTTCTTCTCTTCTAGAAAAACCCCAAACAGCTTTGGGCAGCAAGATACCCAATTAAAAATACTTACCTCCCTACGAAGGATCCACTAACAAACCTCAGCTAACATCACATTTAATAGTAAAAGACTGAGTGCTTTCCCCTATTCAACACTGTGCTGCAGGCTCCAGCCAGGGCAATAAGGCAAGAAAAAGAAATTAAAGGTGTAGAGATTGGAAAGGAATAAGTAAAACTGTCTTCATCCAACAAGACATGATTTTCTACATAGAAAATCCTAGGGAATATATAATTAAGCTACTAGAACTAGTAAGTGAATTAAGCAAAGTCATAAGATACAAGATTTTGATATACAAAAATCAATTGCATTTCTAGCAACAAACAACTGGAACTTGAAATAAAAATGTCATTGCAATAGCAACAAAAATATGAAATACTTACAGATACATGTTACAGAATACATGCAATATCTGTACATGAAAACTAAAAAACATTGCAGGAGGAAATTTAAAAGGAGCACCCCAAGGGAGAAATCTACTGTGTTCATAGGTCAGAAAACTTTATATTGCTAAGACATCACTTCTTCTCACACTGACCTATAGAATTGACACAATGCCAGTCAAAATCCCAGCAGACTTCATTTGTAGAAATTAACAAGCTGACTGTAAAGCTTATATGGAAATACAAAGGACCTAGAATAGTCAAAACAATTTTGAGAATAAAAAGTTGGAGGATTCACACTAACTGATTTCAAGACTTACCATAAAGCTGTAGTAAATACAACAGCATGGTATTGGAATAAAGATAAAAATATAGATGAATGGAAAAAAATAGTCTGGAAATAGTGTCACACATGTAAGGTCAACTGATTTTCAACAAAGGTACCAAGGTCATTGGAGAAAAAGCAGTCTTTTCAACAAATGGTGCTGGGACAGCTGAACATCCACATGCAAAAGCAAACAAGTAAATAAGTGAACTCAACCCCTACACACACCATGTACAAAAGTTAACTCAAAGTGGATCAGAAACCTAAATGTAAGAGCTAAAACTACAAAACTTCTAGAAGAAACTATGGGAGCCAATCTTAGTGACATTGGGTTAGGGAAAGATTTTGTGAGACAAGACACAAAAAGGTTGAATTTCATCAAAATTGAAATTCTGCTCTTTAAAGACACTGTCAAGAAGATGAAAAGGCAGATAATGGATTGGGAGAAAATATTTGCAAATCATGTATATAATAAAAGATGTCCGTACAGAATTTATAAAGGTATCTTACAACTTTTGTTTTCTTAGTAAGAAAACAAAATCCAGCTTAAGAAATGCACAAAAAAATTTGAATAGACACTTCACCAAAGAAGATAAATGAATGGCAGATAAAAATATGAAAAAGATTTGAGAAATGCAAATTAACACTACAATGAAATACCACTGCACATCCACTAGAATGGCTAAAATGAGTAAGACTGCAAATACCAAGCATGGGTGAGGATGCGGGGCGACCAGAAGTCATTCCTGGTGGGAATGCAAAATGGTACAGCTATTTTGGAATACCACTTGGCGGTTTCTTATAAAGTTAAACACACCTACTGTAGAACCCAGCCCTTCCACTCCAGATGTTTACACAAGATAAATAAAAACATATGTCCACGCAAAGACTTGTACGAGAATGTTCATAGAAGCTTTATTCATAATAGCCAAAACCGTAATAGCCAAAACTGTGATCAATCCACATATCCACCAACTGGTTAATGGATAAACAAATTATAGTACATCCATACAAAGGAATA